CAGGCAGAAGTGTGTATTCACAGGCAGAAGTGTGTATTCACAGGCAGGAGTGTGTATTCACAGGCAGGAGCGTGTATTCACAGGCAGGAGCGTGTATTCACAGGCAGGAGTGTGTATTTACAGGCAGGAGCGTGTATTCACAGGCAGGAGTGTGTATTCACAGGCAGGAGTGTGTATTCACAGGCAGGAGCGTGTATTCACAGGCAGGAGCGTGTGTTCAAAGGCAGGAGTGTGTTCACAGGCAGGAGTGTGTATTCACAGGCAAGGAGTATGTATTCCCAGGCAGGAGTGTGTCTTCACAGGCAAGAGCATGTCTTCACAGGCAGGAGCGTGTATTCACAGGCAGGAGCGTGTATTCACAGGCAGGAGCATATATTCACAGTCAGGAGCATGTGTTCACATGCAGGAGCGTGTGTTCACAGTCAGGAGCATGTGTTCACATGCAGGAGCGTGTGTTCACATGCAGGAGTGTGTGTTCACGTGCAGGAGCGTGTGTTCACAGGCAGGAACATGTATTCACAGGCAGGAGTGTGTGTTCACAGGCAAGAGCGTGTGTTCACATGCAAGAGCGTGTGTTCACATGCAGGAGCATGTGTTCACAGGCTTTATTGTGTATTCACAGGCAGGAGTGTGTGTTCACAGGGAGGAGTGTGTATTCACAGGCAGGAAAGTTCACACGCAGGAGTGTCCATTCACAGGCAGGAGTGTGCGTTCACAGGCAGGAGTGTGTGTTCACAGGCAGGAGTGTGTGTTCACAGGCAGGAGCGTGTGTTCACAGGCAGGAGCGTGTGTTCACAGGCAGGAGCATGTGTTCACAGGCAGGAGCGTGTGTTCACAGGCAGGACTGTGTATTCTCAGGAAGGAGCATGTATTCACAGGCAGTAGCTTGTATTCACAGGCGGGAGTGTGCGTTCACCGGCAGGAGTGTGCTTTCACTGGCAGGTGCGTGCGTTCACAGGCAGGAGCGTGCGTTCACAGGCAGGAATGTGCGTTCACAGGCAGGAGTGTGTGTTCACAGGCAGGAGCGTGCATTCTCAGGCAGGTGCGTGCGTTCACAGGCAGGAATGTGCGTTCACAGGCAGGAGTGTGTGTTCACAGGCAGGAGCGTGCATTCTCAGGCAGGTGCGTGCGTTCACAGGCAGGAGTGTGCGTTCACAGGCAGGAGTGTGCGTTCACTGGCAGGAGCGTGCATTCTCAGGCAGGTGCGTGCGTTCACAGGCAGGAATGTGCGTTCACAGGCAGGAGTGTGTGTTCACAGGCAGGCTCAGTTCTGTTGACAGGGCAGGCGCCCTCCTTGTATAACTAGGGAAAACACCTTTTAGTTTTATTCTTTTTAACAAACAAGAAAATAAACTTTTCAAATCTCTGGATTTGTTGTGAACATTAGCAGTAACTTGTGGTTTTTGAGTGTGTGCAGAAAATTAAATGTTTAATGTCCTAGAATCAGTCAGGTGACTGTCTTGACTGATTCCCTGTGCTCCGTGTTTATCAGGACACTTCATCGCTGTGCTCACAGAGGGGAGGCATCTTGAAGCAGGGCTGGCTGCAGAAAGCCAACATCAACAGCAGCCTGTCAGTCTCCATGAGGGTGAGTCAGCAGCCGGTTTTGCTGCCTGTTTTATTTTCTCAATGCAGTGAACTAGACCACAGCAGGTACTGGACTACAATGGAGACGATGCCGGCACATCAACATTTTGTTTCAAATGCAAATCTTCTGCTCTGTTCTATCTAACTGTGCTTTAAATAATAATGAAGAATGGAAGCTGAGAAGGGCATCACGGTGGCACAACTGGTAGAGCTGCTGCCTCTCAGCGAGCAGGTCCTTGGTTCAAACCCCGGTCCAGGGGCCTTTCTGGGTGGAGTTTGCATGTTCTCTCCGTGCATGCGTGGGTTTTCTCCGGGTACTCCGGTTTCCTCCCACAGACCAAAAACATGCATGTTAGGCTGATTGGTAACTCTAAATTGTCCCTAGGTGTGAGTGAGAGAGTGAATGGTTGTTTGTCTCGTTTGTCTCTATGTGGCCCTGTGATGGACTTGCGACCCATCCAGGGTGTACCCCGCCCCTCGCACAGTGATTGCTGGACATGGGCACCAGCGACCCCCGTGACCCAAAATGGAATAAACGGGTAAAGATAATGGATGGATGGATGGATGGAAGCTGAGAAGATCAAGGCAACAAAATGACATAATTAACCATACCATACCATACCATACCATACCATACCATACCATACCACTTTATTTATAAAGCACTTAAAACAGCAACAAGACCAACCAAAGAACAACAGGTAACACACAAAGCAAAATACAAAATGAGGTAAATCAGAATATAGACAAAAAACAATGCAGATAATGACGACAAACCAGTGTGGAGCATACAGGATCAAAACACAGATCATCTGGTGTTGAAAGCTACTGAATAGTGGTGGGTTTTTAAACGGGACTTGAAAACCGAGAGGGAGGGGGCCTGTCTGACAAGCAGAGGTAACTCGTTCCAGAGTCTTGGTCCTGCTACAGAGAAGGTCCTGTCACCTCTGCGCTTAAGATGAGTTCCTGGAACTGTGAGGAGCAACTGGTCCGCTGACCTCAGGGAGCGTGGTGGGACATACGGTTGTAGCAAATCAGAGAGATGGGGGGGCGCACTGTTCAGTGATTTGTAGACATATGGTATGGTGTGGTATGGTAATTAATGATCCACAGAAGCTCAACTGTACAGATGTTCAACATATGTTCCTCTGTTTGACTTGCAGGTGTTTAAACGGAGGTACTTCTACCTGTCTCAGCTCCCTGATGGCTCCTACATCCTCAACTCCTACAAAGACGAGAAGAACTTCAGGGAAACCAAGGGCTCCATCTACCTGGACTCGTGCATAGATGTTGTTCAGGTAGAGCTCACTGTTTGTTTCTGCTTTTGTCTCCTGTATTCTCAGTGAGTTTTCAGCTTTTGGCACAAGCTGCTGCCCTTGTGAGTCTCTGGGTTCCCATGTCTCAAAACCCTGCTGGAGCTTTGAGCTGCTTTTATTGGGACAGATTTACTGCATTCCTCTGAGGGGGTGGGAAGGACTTGTTCTGGCAGATTATGAGGGGCCAGTGGTACTTGTTGGTACCTCGTTCAGGTCTGGTCTGACCGCTGAGGCTTTAAGGGACCATGGTTTTCTTGTTTATAATTTCTTCTGTATATTTTTGGCACCCTAACTACTTTGTGCCATTTTACTCATCAGGACGTTCAGATTGATCAGGAATAGTGTGTGACTTTTGGTACTTGTAACCTTCCTACTTAATACATTCACAAGATTTGGTTTAGCTACGTTTAGGTTTCTACTACAGTTTAGCAAATTTTAGTTTTAAGCCACGGTCGTAAAGACCGTGGCTTAAAACTAAAATTTTTATATTGTTTTTTATATTTTTAAATTTTTTATATTGTTATGAAATTGTTTTGTATTTTTTTTAATGAATAAACTTTATACCATACCATACCATAAAGACAAATGTTCATCATTGTCACAGTGGAGTCTATACAGTCAGATATATAAACTGTAAATTTATTCAATTCGACCTTTATTTATACAGGTTAATCTCATTGAGTCACGAGGACTCGTTTTCTAGAGAGACCTGTATGTAAATACAGAGTCATTGGCTGTAGTAGCTCAGTGGTCAGTGCTGCAGCCTTGTGACCCTGAGATTGCGGGTTCGAGCACAGGTTGCATTAGGAAAGGGATCCAGTGTAAAGCAACTGACAATTTTTTATGCCACATTGCTCACTGTGGCAACACCTGAAGAAGGAAGCAGCTGAAAAAAATTTTTTTTTTAATAAGACTTGAGTATAATTTGAATACAATGGTCCAAGTACAGAACACTGCGGAACTCCCTAACCAATGCTAGTTAATGATAAAAATCTACTGTCAAATAGATAAGATTAAGTCTGTCTGATATTCTTACCAAGAGTTAAAGGTGTTTAACTTTTATAATGTATAACATTTAAATTAATGCTGCACAATATTTGGAAAATGTGCAATATTATTGTGATAACGATCTAACCAGGTGTGGGCATCAAGGCTCTGAAAATCTGTTGGACTGACCAAATATATTATTAGCAGGAAGGTGAATGCACAGTACTTTTAATATTATGATCTTTGATTTATTGCAGTCCAAGTAGTCTAACCCTAACCCTAAATTAAACTTGCTAAATTCACTTTTGAAGCCTTACATCCCCTGTTTGTCGCACATTTTAGGTCTTTAAATCTTTGTATAGTCAAGCCTCATGCAGATAACAAATTATTTCTCTAGTTTGAATTCTGTTTTTGACTGTGGTTTGCTTCATCAGCAGTTGCCTTTAGTGTTCAGCTGCCATATTGGAATAAATTGTAAAATTAGACGATCTGATCATTACCAGGATGAGGCATTATTTTCTATTTTTCTCTGTTAAATTGCTTTCTGCCATTCTGGTGTTTTTGTGGCATTTTAGTTTCCTAGTGGGACGTTGTAGTTTGAAAAATAGTGAAAGAACTAAAACGCATCAACTTTACTGGTAAAACGTTGCACACAAGCATCAAGTAGCAAGCTTTACTAAATGGAGTGTGTTTTGAAACCATAAAAGATGATGTGTTTGTAAAACATCTGCCTAAAAAATGTCTGAATTGTCACCTCTTCAGAGTCCTAAGATGCGGCGCAACGGCTTCGAGCTGAAGATGCAGGACCGCTACAGCCACTTCCTGGCTGCTGACAGTGAAGCAGAGATGGAGGAGTGGGTGGTGACGCTCAGACAGGCCCTGCAGAGCAGCACGGAGGCAGGCCAGGACAAGAGGAACGGAGCCGAGTCACTGGACTGTGCTGCAGGTCAGATATTCTTTACCTACATAAAAAGTCCTAAAAGCTTGCCAGTTTCAATTGGAGCTGTGATAAATCTTCTGGAAACAATCACATCTAAAACATGTTTAGATCTGCTGCTGCAGGCGTGTTGTGCTGATGCAGCTAGCTAAGAGTGAGGAAGCTTGAGTTTTTCCGTATCTGCTGAGAGACTGGGAGGCTGCCCAGTTAGAGTTCAGCCAGTCCAACAGCTGTCTCCTCAGAGTCAGCCGGCAGCACGTTGTCCAGATGTTCATTGGTTTATTAGAGCAGTCCTTCAGAGAGCTTGCAGAGTGCTGCCGTGGGGAAACAACTTTGTTGATGCAGGACTTCTGTTGTGTTTAATCAGATGATGACTCTTCGAGCCAAGGCAAAGGGGAGAGCCTGCAGGATAACCAGGGGCGGAGCTTACACACTGAACTCATGAAGGTATGAGGGCTGGAGCCATCCTTCAGCGACAATGGAAACATGACCATCTTGATTCTGGGTCAGCTAGCAGGTTTATTAACAAAATAATATTTTTCACAATAATTTCTTTACTTTGTTGTTCTACTGCTGCAATCCTTCAGCATCAGTCCGAGGAGCCACAACTCCACGGTCTGATGACATCGTTTGCATGAAAGACGAAACGTTCCAACAAAAAGAAACCTTCCAGAGGAACTGACTTAACTTACCGTATTTTTTCGCTGTATAAGTCGCAGTTTTTTGCATAATTTACATGCCCTGCAGCTTATAGGCTGAAGCGACATATTTATGGATTTTTCCCCATATTTATAAACCAATTTTGGCTTAGATATGACCGTTTTCATTCATTCCGACTGAAAAAAGAGTAGTACCACTTTCAGCCACTTGATGGCAGCAGAGTAGTAGTAGCAGTAAGGCATGCCATTGTATCATGTAATAGGTAAACATGGCTATAATGACAAATTCAAAAAAGTTCAAGACAAAAACAACTGGACTTTATTTATTATACTTTACTTTATACTTTATAGTTTTTTTCTTCAACTTTTTTGAATTTACCATGGCCTGGATGACTGAGAATCTTCACCAGCTATTAATGATACAATCAGCCTGCCATTCTAGAATTGCGCAGCTCAAGGTGGCTGCATGTTGGAGCAGCTCTGTTACTTTCATTCTGAGATTTTGCTTTTGGAAACTTTAATTCCTCTTTTTCTGGATGTAAATCACATTTTTTGGATGATTGTTTCCTCTGGTATCGAATGCTGTGCAGCTGGAAGGATTTTTACTGAAACTTTTTTTAGTTTTGGACATTTGTTATGATGCGTAACCATGGCAACAAGGCAGTTTTCTACAACAACAGCAGCTGATTAACATCTCAAAAGCTGAAATAATATCTCAACTATGGCCCCAACTCTCAAATGAGTTGAAAAGGATGTTCTATGGACGCATTCTCATCTACCTGCCAGCTGTGCTCGAGTGCCTGACCACTGAGATCCTGGAACTAGCAGGAAACACGGCTCACGACAGCGGAAGAACAGGATCGTCCCTCAGCACCTACAGTTGGCTGTCCGCAGAGATGAGGAGCTCGGCAGACTTCTGGGAGGAGTGACCATCGCTCTGGGAGGAGTTCTGCCTGGCATTCAAGCGGTCCTACAGTCCAGGGGAACCAAGAGGCCAGCCGAGTCTGGGTGGACGGATCAGACGGCATCTGCAGCCAGTTTCTTAGGATCCACTGTGAGATGGACCTTTACAAGTGATCCTTCCTGCCTACAGCCATCAGCATCTATAACATCTCTTAATGAAATGAGGATAACGAGTTACAACAACAAAATAATTTCCCTCTGGGATTAATAAAGTATTTTTGAATTGAATTGAATTAATCTCCCCACCTTCATTCTGCTCATTGCTTGGAACTGTCAAACCAGCTGCACCACCACAGCGAAATGCAGCTGATTTGACCATCAAAGTGCATTTATTAAGCAAATGTTAGACTGAGACACATCTTTGCTATAATTTCGATCAAACAAATATATATTTATAAGTATTAATCTTGTTAAGTTCTTGTAAAGTCCTCCCGTACACACTCCCGCGACCGCCATTTGGCAGCCCATCGATTTTTGGCACAACACCGGTCCACATTTCCAGGTTGTCAGCAGTGATGCGTAACAAACGCGACGCGTCAGCGATGACGCATAATAGATGTAACGTATACGAAGAAGCGACATATTTATGGATTTTTCCACTTTATTAGACAAATATGGACTGATGCGACTTAAAGTGTGGAGAGACATGTACAGCGGAAATTACGGTAGTTGGATTTTTTTCTATACCTGGATTATCGAGTATGAATCAGGGTGTGTTCACGGTGTTTCAACGTTGCTTGTGGGGTTCCTCAGGGGACAGTTTTCAGTCCTAAATTATTTATAATGTATGTAAATATAAGTTGTAAGTATCTGGTGTTATGAAATTTGTATTATTTGCTGATGATACAAATGTATTCTTAGTTGGAGATACTCAGGAACAGTTGTTAAAAAATGTCAGTGATGAAATGAAAAAGCTAAAACATGGTTTGATTGTTACAAACTGTCTTTAAATGTGAGAAAAAAACAAAATAATGTTGTTTGGGAATGGTATAACAGACAAGCAACTGAAAAATAAAATGCAGATGAATGACGTGATTGTTGAAATGGTGCGTGAAGTTAAATTTCTTTGTGTTATTATTGATAAGCTGAACAGGAAACCTCACATCAGATATGTTCAAAGTAAAACATCCAAAAGTATTTCTGTATAGAACAAAACTAAACGTGTTTTGATGGGACAGGACTCCTCATTCTGTGCTGTTCCTTAGATTGACCATATTTAAGTTACCATATTTTTCAGACTATCAGGCACATTAAGCGAAACTAAAACATTTTGACAGATTTTTGCGAGCCGTTTATCTCATGAAATCAGTTTGAGGTCATTAATCAGCCAGAATTAATACATAAGATGCACTGGATTATAAGGCTCACTGTCGATTTTTGAGAAAATTTAAGGATTTTAAGTGCACCTTATAGTCTGAAATATACAGTACTCTGCAGAGGTTTGGATTAAATAACCACAAAACAACACTACAGTCACCAATCCTTCAAAAAAAAAAAAAAATCATTTTGAGTAATTAACAAGGTCTAAATCACGACTTATACGATCAAATTTATTTACATAGTTAAATTACAAACAGTTCTAATAATGTATATATCTAAATATAACCAGCTGCCTGAAAATATTAAAAAACTTAAGAGAAGGGAAGAAGTTTATGAGTTTAGAGGAATGTGTCAATGCCAAACAGATGATCAGAACAAGAAACTGTTAATGGTATAAAACGATGATTATAGATGAATATCACACTTGAATAATCATTATTATTGTTACTATCACCTATTATCATCAGACTGTACATTGTGTTAGGGTGATAGTCACTGGGGATGCACATTATGTATTAATTATACATTTAATTAATTGATTTATTATTAGATTTTTTTCCTTTTCACTTCTTTAATAGTTGTTTGGATTCATAAATTTATAGAAAATTAAGAAATTGTATTTATATATTTTGTAAAGAATAAGTTGTGATGAGAATAAGGTTGCAGGAGAAGGGTTGGGCTAATAGAAGTGTATACTTGTCACTCCTCTGAGCATAGGAATATTGCATATATAATATTGTAAATGCTGCTGTTATGATTTGTTGTTACGTTCAATAAATTTAAAAAAGAAAAAAAGAACTGTAAATTACTTTAAAAATGTCTAAATGAGATGAGGTAAAAGACAATCAGTAAAGGTCCCAGTTTTCTAACTAGTTTAAATTTAAATGATGATTTTTCTGTAAGTTGTGCTTGAGCTGTTGTTTTATCTAAAATACCATTTTAGTCCCAGTTTGTTCCAGATTATTTAATCCATTATGCTTCTTATCTACCAAATGCCACACAATCCCCCGTTTTTCATTAAAATATGTTTTTCCTATTTAGGTTAATATTCTAAACTAATTAGTGGACAAAATACAGTTAATAGAGAAAGGAAAAAAAAAGTTTTGTTACAGAAAGATTAGCACTTTAATTAAAAAAAAAGATGGAAAATAGCTTGTTTTTTAAATCAAAACAGTCATTTAATATAAAAATCTAATCTTATTTTACAATAATCTGTAATTGTGAGAAGCATTGTTGAGCCCTTGACGTGTTTTTTGTGTTTGGTTAAACCCCCTTCCTGCAGCCCTCTCTGCTGTGCTTGCTCTAAAAGCCTCTGCTGCACAACTCCACACAGAAACATTTTGTCTGCAGGCAGTCAGAGTTGAAATGATTTAAGGCTCCCACTTGGATTAGTTTGTCTACATGAGAAGCTTTCTCCTTCTTCCTCTGTCTGACTGTCTCTGTCCTCTGGTGTTTTTGTGTCTGCGATGCTTGGAGAGCAAAAGCACCGACAGGCAGCGCAGAGAGCAGACTGCAGAGTGAAAACTGCCTCTTTGTTCAGACGCTTTTCTTTTAACAAAGTTTACTGCCAAGATTAGACAATTAGTGAAGAAAATAATACAAAAATTATATAAAAATAAAATCACTGTAGGGGCTTTTTGCACTTGGACAGCTGAAAATGAAAAAAAATGGAAATTTTCTGAAGAAATTTTACAGCGGCTTTCCAAAATTCCAGCATAACTTTGTAATATTCTGAGCTTCGAAAACCCTCCAGATGTTTTGATATATGAAATGTTTAAAAGGTGTAAAGAGAACCAAGATGAGAGTGTGAAAGCTGCTGCCAGTGGCTCATTACAGTCACCATGGTAACAACACGCCTGTGTTTATGTTAATGAGAGGCAGACAGAAACGACAAACTGAAAAATAAGCCTCGAACAAGCAGTCACTGTGTGAAAGCTAAAAGCAAAATCTGAACAATTCTTGAAATTCATTAATTCATTCAACCTCTATTTATACAGGTTAGTTCCCATTGAGCCTCAAGGACTCATTTAGAAGAGAGACCTGTTTCAGATAGACAAAAGTAGATAAGGAAAAGAGAAACACGAGTCAGTCAGAGTCAGAGTCAGAGTTTCTTTATTGTCATTCGCACCTCATGTGGTACATGTGGTGGAGCGAAATTATGTACACAGGGTCCCAGTTACATCCAACAATAAAATGTATGAGAAAAACAGTAATAACATCTAAGATATGAACTAAGAAAAACATCAACTAAATATACACTAAGCACTCATAACATAAAACATTGAACATCAGCACAAACATGAACATGAGTCTGTGAGCAGATGAGCACGCATGAACACATCAACATTGAAACAGATCAGCAGCAACATGAAACAGATCAGCAGCAACATGATATGGTTTTACACAGTGATTATTCTAGTTAGAGACTCATGAGTCTAACAGCCTCAGGGTAGAAGCTGTTCCTCAGTCTAGTGGTTCTACACTTAATGCTCCTTAACCTCCTTCCTGAGGGGAGTGGGGCAAAAAGTGTGTGTGCTGGGTGGGTGGGGTCCTTCATGATGCAGGTGGTCCTCTTCCTGCATCTGGAGGTGTAGATGTCTGTGATGGTTGGGAGACTGATTCCAACAGATTTCTGTGCAGCCTTCACCACTCTCTGCAAAGCTTTTCTTTCTGCAGCTGTGCAGCCTCCATGCCACACATTGATGCTCGAGCACAGGATGCTCTCCACTGCACACCTGTAGAAGGAGGTGAGGACTGAGCTTCCCAGACCAGCTCGCCTCAGCCGTCTGAGGAAGTAGAGTCTCTGATGAGCTTTCTTGATCAGGCTGGTGGTGTTGTTGCTCCAGCTGAGTTTGTCATTCATGTGTACACCCAAGTACTTGTAGCTGGAGACCACTTCCACCGCAGATCCTCCTATGTTCAGGGGGGCGTAGGTGTTTTTGTTCCTTCTGAAGTCCACAAGAGGGGAGATGAATAAAAATCGTATCTCTATGTCCTGGCCGGGCACAGTGAGAAATTTGCAAAAAAAAGACCTCGCACATAAACAGCAACATACTAACACATCGAAAAACATGTATGCATGAGTAGGCCGACAAAGGCAGTGAGTTGTCTGTGGGCACTGCCAGATACAGTAGTTCCATAGTCCTGATAAGAGATGACACAGTGTCTATCAGCTGGCTCAGCTCTGACACAGGTCCACAGAACTGAAATGTGAGCAGCAGAAGGTTCTTTGCACTCTGTGGTTATTTGAGAGAAAACTGTGTCATATAGCAGTTAGAGACACACTGGGTGAAAGATGGAAAAATGCTTATGTTTTGATGTGCATTTTGTATATACCGCTATATAAAAAAAGTTGAGAGTAAACAATTTCTTTCCAAAGATTAGAAGTTTTTAGTCACGGGGGTCGCCGGTGCCCATGTCCAGCAATCACTGTGCGAGGGGCGGGGTACACCCTGGACGGGTCGCAAGTCCATCACAGGGCCACATAGAGACAAACAAGACAAACAAACATTCACTCTCTCACTCACACCTAGGGACAATTTAGAGTTACCAATCAGTCTAACATGCATGTTTTTGGTCTGTGGGAGGAAACCGGAGTACCCGGAGAAAACCCACGCATGCACGGAGAGAACATGCAAACTCCACCCAGAAAGGCCCCTGGACCGGGGTTTGAACCAAGGACCTGCTCAATGAGAGGCAGCAGCTCTACCAGTTGCGCCACCGTGCTGCCCTAGTAGTAGTAGTAACATTAGTAAAATTACTACAAGTGAAATTAGTATTAGTAAAATTATTCTTAATAATAGTAGTCAACACTTATTTCCAAAAGAGGGAGGAACATAGATTAACCTATGAGTGGATGAAAGAATACACAGGTCGACTACATTTTGTGTTTAAGTGGAAACCTGAGGGAGATTGGGAACTGTACGGTTGTGGCTTGGGAGAGCATGGCCAGACAGCATCGGATGGTTGTGTGTAGAATGACTGTTGTTGTGAAAAAGAGTAAAATCAGAAAAGACCAAATGGCGGAAGATGAGGAAGGAAGAACGTTGTGAGATATTCAGAGGGGCGCTGTTAAAAGTTCTGGGTGGTTAAAAAAAGAGCTTCCAGATGACTGGGCTACTGCAGCAACAGTAATTAAAGAGAAAGGTAGGAAGGTAGGCATGTGTCATCTAGACAGAGAATGATGATAAGGAAACCTGGTGGTGGAATAGTGAAGTGCAGGAAGTTATTCAAAGAAAGAGCTTAGCCAAGATGGAAGGAGTACTTTAAGGAGCTAATGAATGAAGAACATTAAAAAGAAAGAAGAGTAAAGGTCATAGAAACTGTGGACCAAGAGGTGGGTAAGATTAGTGAGGGTGAAGTCTGGAAAGCTCTGAAAAGAATGAAGAAGGCGAAGGCAGTAGGGCCTGGTGACATACAAGTGGAGGTTTGGAGATGTCTTGGAGAGATGGCAGTGAGGTTTTTGATTCAAATATTCAATGGCATGTTTGAGGGTGAGAAAATGCCTCAGGAATGGAGAAGAAGTATGCTGGTGGCCAGTTTTAAGAACAAGGGTGATGTGCAGAGTTGTAGTAACTACAGGGGAATAGAGTTGATGTCACATGATGTAGATCTGGGTGAGAGTTGTGGAAGCTAGACATAGACGAGAGGTGACTATCTGTGAGCAGCAGTATGGTTTCATGCAGAGAAAGAGCAGCACAGATGCCATCTTTGCTTTGAGGATGTTGATGGAGAAGTACAGAGAGGGTCAGAAAGAACTCCATTGTGTCTTGGTGCATTTAGAAGAAGCATATGATGGAGTGCTGAGGGAGGAGGTGTGGTATTGCATGAGGAAATCTGGAGTGGCAGAGAAGTATATTAGACTAGTACAGGACATGTATGAGGACAGCAGGACAGTGGTGAGATGTGCTGTAGGAGTGACAGATAGCTTCAAGTTGGAGGTGGGATTGAATCAAGGATTGGCTCTGAGCCCCTTCTTGTTTGCTCTGGTGATGGACCAACTAACAGATGAGGTCAGGCAGGAATCCACATGGACTATGATGTTTGCAGATGACATTGTGATCTGTGGTGAGAACAGGGAGCAGGTGGAAGAGAACTTGGAGAGGTGGAGGTATGCACTTGAAAGAAGAGGAATGAAAGTCAGCCACAGTAAGACAGAGTGCATGTGTGTGAATGAGAGGGAGGCTGGTGGAACAGTGAGGCTACAAGGAGCAGAGGTCACAAAGGTGCAGGACTTCAATTACTTGGGGTCCACTGTCCAGGAAAATGGGGAGTGTGGTAAAGAAGTGAAGAATAGGGTCCAGGCAGGATGGAATGGATGGACAAAAGTTTCAGGAGAGATTGGAATAAAATGGTTGCTGTAAAGGTCATGGAGGTAGTTGGAGTGAGGACAGAGTGAGATGGAGGAGGATTATTTTTGCTGTGGAGACCCTGAAGAGGGAAAAGCTGAAAGAAGAAGGAGTAAAATTAGTTTTAGCAGTAATATTAGTAGCAGAAGTATGCTGAAGGGGTTAAACTGAATATTTTTGAAATTGTCGAAGACATTTAAAATGATTTATTATGGAAATATTTATAAATAAAGTGTACATTTAAATAAGTCATAGCACCCCCCCCCCCCCAACAAGCTGAATGTTCTGATAAATGAACACGTAAAACAAGACACAGTATCAAGAGGTAGATGCTGAAAATGTACAAAAAACACAAAAGAAAACAATGGTGTGTATGATGACTCAGCGTTCACACAAGCTGATCCTCTGGCACCCATAATGATGCAGACATTAGGAAGAACAAAGATTTACCACCATCTTCCCCCTCCGTCTCTGTTTTTCAGTACGCGAGGGAAACAGAGCAGCTCAATAAGATCAACAGGAACGAAGGCAGACTGAAGCTTTTCTCCCTGGATCCTGAAACACAGGTAAACAAACACATCATTTATTTATTTCACCATTGATCTGCCTCCTCTCCACTGCTCACATCCCTCCCCCTCCTGTCTGGTACCCAGAGGCTGGACTTCTCGGGCATCGAGCCAGACGTGAAGCCGTTCGAGGAGCGGTTCGGTCGGCGCATCATGGTCAGCTGCCACGACCTCACCTTCAGTCTGCAGGGCTGCGTTAACGAGAGGGCCGACGGAGTCCTCACCAACGTACGTCATCTGCTCCATGTCATTTCAAACGTTCTTCATGCCAAAAGGAACAACTCTCAACAACCCCTTTAACAAATCTTGCATGAGCTACATGTAGGCTGACGCCACACCTAAAATATTGTCTTTAAAAAGTGAAACATTGAGATCAATTGTAGACAGAAAGGTGATTCTGCCTGCAGGCACTTGAGCATATTATATATTATTCTGCTTTCTGCACCTCAGCTGCAGGTCTTCAGTCAGTCATGCTGCCCCAGATAACACGCCTTCATAATTCATGTTGGCTCAAAGGCTTCAGGAAGAAGCAGTGGAGGACGATCCAGCAACTGGACATTGTTCCAATATCTTCACATGCATTGAAAGGAAACAAAGTCTTTCTCTTCCTTTAATTAAAATCCGCTCTTCTTGCTCTGAGCAGGGCTTTTATTTTAAACCTGAGTTTATGTGATGAATGGCATGATGCAGCAATTTCCACTTCTGTCAGGGAGGCTTTCTGGAGTCATAAAACCTCCTCCTCCTCTTCCTCCTCCTCCTCCTCTATTAGAAAAGCTGTTGAGAAAAAGAACCTGACTCATGTTTGTGGTTTGAAAGCAGCTCAGGCTCTTCCTCTCGCCCTGCCTCATTTCCATTCAGCCTCACGTTGGTTTATTGGTATGTTCTGGCAGAAATGATCGGTCCATCAAATATTTGTGGGCTCCAGAGGAAACATTGTTTCCAGCGTGATCTTATAGAAAATAAATCTGTATCTAGTTTTCTGTAAGTTAGGCCACTGGTTAGCACGGGTCTAGCTCTATTTGTTGTAAAAACAAAACATAAAACAAACTCAGACGCTCTACAATAATTGAAATGTTTTGGGGAAAAGCAGCTCATGTTTTGTTAAAAACACAGATTAAAATGTATTTTAAAAGAACAAATTCATGTCTTCACATGAGTTTTAGAAACTGTTCAGTTAACGCCGGGAGGAGGACATATCACTAGACCTGTCGCGATAATCAATTAATTGCATGATCAATTAAAATTATCAACCTAATTTTCATTTATCGGCTTTATAGTTTCTTCGTGTCTCTTTCTTTCTACTGAAGACACTGGATGATAAAAGGCTCAACTCCAGTGCTCTTCACTGACCCCTTCCTTTCTCTTTTCTCTTTAAAATCCATTTTAACGATCCAAAATCACGTTTTTGGATCGTTAAAAGCAGCTAAGCTGAGAAGCTAAGCTACGAGCTAACAGGCCAACCTTGGGGAAAAAACCTCCATCTTGTCGAAGCTCCAAAAATTCACGGTTGAAACCTGTCATTGTGTAAAAAGTTGTTTTTCAACTTGTTTACTGATTTTTTTATTAAAAGCTTTGTGTGAAAAAGGCTATGCTAAAGAGCTCAAACCACACCGAGCGTCCGCCATTTTGAGAACCGACGGGAGACAGCCCTTGTGACGTCAAGGGGCCTCCCTCCCATTTTTCTTAAAGAGACACACTTCTTGCTCCCTCACTATCCATCCTTCGGTTCAAACAGTCTAACACTGCCATCCAGTGGTCAAAAAAGGTACTACACACAAAAATTAACTAACATTTCTTTTTAAATTTGACAATAATTACTAATTATTGTCAAATTTAAAATAATATTATCGTTTATCGCAATAATTTCTGAGATAATTAATCGCCCAGCAAAATTTATCGTGACAGGCCTACATATCAATCACCACCTTCCATGTCTGACTTTTAAATCTAGGAGAAACGATCAAATTAAACAGTTTTTAAAGAGAAGTTTTAACGTCACGGTTGGCAGAAAGCTTCTGTTGACGATAATGATTGAACGCTGTCGTAGGTGGAGCCGTTCTTCATCAGCCTCGCCCTCTTCGACGTCTCCAAGAGCTGCAAGATCTCAGCCGACTTCCACGTGGACCTGAACCCGCCATGCGTCCGGGAGATGCTGCTCACTGACACCTCGGGGCAAGTCTCTTCTTCGTCGGACTCTGAGGGCGGAGAGGGGGGAGGACGAGTCCTGGTGAACGGCGACTGTGGGAAAGGGAACGGCCTGCCCGTCCTGCAGAGGGTGTCGGAGGCTCTGCTGCGCTTCCCCACACAGGTAGGAACCGGATTAGGTCTGAATGTTTTGCTTTTTCCTCCACAACTGCTGCGAGGTGTTTGACTTTCTCTTAGCCTGTACTGAGGTGGCGATGTCGCTAATGTTTGCCAGTTAGGACCCAAGTCTTTTATGCTCCTTCTGCAGCTCATTTTAAAGGGACTGAAGCTCATGTGTGAGTGTTGGGTTTGGTTCAGTCCTGAAGGTCCTGTGAGGTCAACACACACTTTGTTCCTCACCTCTTAGTGACATCAGGCGCATATCAACATCTTTGGTTCCTTCCATAACAAAAGATACAAGCAGATCATCTTGTAAATATACTGCAAGTCATCCAACATCTGCTAAAGTCTCAGCTTCCTCCTCCGTGATTAGAGTCCTGTTTTAGCTCAGCAGACCACAGTTTAACGTAGGTGCTCTGGGTGTGGTCCAAGGTCAAAGCCACCTCCTCTGTCTCTCTGCTCTGTCAGCTGTGGGTCCCGTTCATTACAAAACTCACACTCTGATCTGCCTGCTCTGGAGCTTCGGCTCTTTCAGTGGTTTTCAGCTTGCAGAACCTGGCTGTGGTGCAGCTCGGATTCTTCTGCGCAGTTTGAAGCTGTTTAGACCTCTCTGTAAAAACTGTTGGGATGTTGTGAAAGCTGCAAGCAGAAGGCAGCTGTGTGTCCGTGTCTGAATGTCCTCGCAGGAATCTTTTCCCAGAAAACAGTTTTTATACACCCGTTGAAGGCGGGACATATTATGGTATAGTCTCTGTTCGTAAACTTTCTCTTGTCCTGCAAATGCTCTTCATGGACTATAGTTCTGCTTTCAACGCCATCCTCCCCAACAAATTGGTGGACAAACTGGGGGAACTGGGACTTCCACACTCCACCTGCACATGGGTAAATAGTTTCTTGTCCGACTGCAGTCAGAGGGTTTAAATGGGCCGTCATACATCCATGGCCCTCAATTTCAATATGGGAATCCCACAGGGCTGTGTGCTGAGCCCCCTGCTCTATGCCTTCTACAAACATGACTGCACCCCTGCTCACCACAGCAACACCATAATCAAATTTGCAGATGATACCACATGGTGGGGCTCATCGGTGGGGGAGATAAGTGGGGATCAGTCTGCCTACAGGGACAAGGTGGAACAACTGACTGCTTGGTGCAGGGGGAACAATCTGCTCCTCAAAGACTAAGGAGCTGATCATCGACTTCAGGAAAAAGAAAATGGCAGTCCCACCCCTGATTATAAGTGAGACAGTGTGAAGAGAGTAGCTGACTGCCGTTTCCTGGGAGTCCATATTGAAGGAAATCTGACCTGGAGCGTGAACACCTCAGAGATGCTGAAAAAGGCCCAGCAGAGACTGTACTTACTGAGAGTGCTCAGGAAGAACAACATCACCCAGAGCCTGCTGGTGTCTTTCTACCAATGCTCCACAGAGAGCATCTTAACACACTTCATCACTGTGTGGTTGCACAGTGGCTCAGAGAAAAGTGCTCCAGAGAGTTATCTACACAGCCCAGAAGCTCGTGGGCTGCCCTCTTCTCTCACTGGAAGATCGCGCTACATAGGAAAAGTCCACACCATCCCAAAGGACACGTCTCATCCTGGACTTGATCTGTTTGACTGTTACCATCAGGGAAAAGATTCAGATCAATGAAGACGAGAACAACAGATTTAAAAATAGTTTTTATCTGTCAGCCATTACTGAACTTAAAGCTGTAAGAACTGAATAAGTGCAATAAAGGACAACTAGTGTCATATCAGTCTGCTTGTGTTGCACATTTAGGATGTTTAGAATTTGTAATTTATTACCTTTTATACAGATTATATATACACAAATATATATATTTTAATTTTTTTATATTATACTGTTTTTACTTTTGCTCTGTGAAGCAAACGCAAATTTTGTTGTATTTCGGTGCAATGACAATAAAGATATATTCTATTTTATTCAAATAACTTCTGAGTTGCTCAAGATAATTTATTGAAGCTTGTTACTAGACAGAGTGTGGCGTACACTTTTCAGGACGCAAGCTTCAAGTTCAAAAATCAAGGTCAAAGTTAAACAACGTGTTTTTCTGCACCATTGCTACAGATTGTTGTATAATAGTTTGTCGACAGGCCTATAATGTAACGAGTATTATGTGTTGTTCTTGTTTTCCCTTTTAGTTTAGTGCGTTTGTTTGAACTTTGAGTCTTGTCACATCAGACCACATATAGACGTGACCCTGTGTGGTTTTCCTGCACAGCTCAGTTAGCTTCAGCTGCTTCCTCTGCTCTTACCTCTCAGTGCATCATGGGAGAAACCTGAGCCTCAAGTGCATTTCATGTCGCAGCCATTTTTTCTTCCTGACTTCCTGTTTGGTTCTTCTCAGGTCAGTATGATCATGTGACCTCTGAATTAAACTGTTAAACTCTCGCAGGCCATCTTCTCGGTGACTAACCCCCACGCAGACATCTTTCTGGTGGCCCGGGTGGAGAAGGTTCTGCAGAACGGCATCACGCACTGCGCTGAGCCGTACATCAAGTCCTCTGACATCACCAAGGTCCCCCCCCCCTCACGTTGATAGTTACATTAAAAACTGCACATGCTGCTCTGGGGTCAGTGTTGACCATCTGCCTTTGTGTCCACAGACGGCCCAGAAGGTGCTGAAAGCTGCTAAACAGACGTGCCAACGCCTCGGCCAGTACAGGATGCCGTTCGCCTGGGCAGCCAAGTAAGACGGGAATAATCAGAAGTGAAAGTGTTTGGGTTCAAGTATGGGAGGAGTTGATGACTCACACCAGCCCAGATTATAAAGAACGGTTTTACATTAAAGGGTGCCAGTACAGAAACATTTTCTTGTAAAAAACAAACTAAATATGCAACAGAGTGTGTCCAATCAGGAGGATTGTTCTATAAGTTTCAGGAGCAGTACAGCGTAGGGGAAACTTTGGAACAACTTCCCCTTCTCCTGCTGGCGGACATGTCATCTGTCAGCAAAGACATAACAATAACATAGCAACATTTCAGCTGCAGAATTAACCCTGTCACAAGTGAAGGGGCTTGTAAAGCCACAAGTCAGTTATAATCAGGGCTTCATTTGAGCCAGATCCTGCTGGAACAAGATCCGGGAACTCTCTTATTTTGACACGGTGTTTTCTGGTAACTTTACTTTGATCCGATAATTCAGGCTTAATAATAATAAAGTTATGGACAAATTTGACTGCCCTGAATGAATACAATCTATATAGGACATGTAATCTGAAAATAATTACATAAACACAAATTTTAAACATAACAGCCAATTGCGAGCTTCCTAATATCACACCAGAGCTGCTCCTTCAAGTAAGTGTTTCTGCCTCTACCCTTAAAAAAATCTTCGCCCTTAAATGTTCTGTCATGGACAATTTTATTAGAAACACAAAAAAATAATTAAACAGCACAACTAAATTGCAAATCTGTTTTACAGTTTAAGTGGGTTATTAATAAAATTTAGATTATTTATTAAAAATTTGAGAGAAATTTTTGATGGATAATCACATTACGTACCAAAATAATGGCATTGATTTGTCGAAATAACAGCGATCAAAATGTCGAAAAGACAGTCCAGTTTACTTTCATTAAAACAAAAAAGTCTTCTCATTGTACAACTAAATAACCGAGAATTGAAGCACATGAAGGCAGTGGCAATGAAGATAGTACGCGAAGCGCAGGGGGACGGGGGGAAGGAGTTGGGATGTTTGAGAGAAGTGGAGCTTGCTCTATTCACACAAGGAGAGCTGTTGGCCAGGCTACTTCTTGTTGCTCTCTAAAATAGTTATTGAATCAAGTGTTTACAAATGTAGGTAAACGTAGATGTTTAACCACCTGTTAAATACACCAGAATGCTGGAAATGGCATCTACTTTATTCAAAATTTTGCATTTTATATGCCTCCCCTGTTGCAGCATTGTTTGGTTTACAAATTAAGCACTGGTTATAATGTAGGCAGGTGCAGAACTCAACAACTTGTAAAGAAAAATTACATTTTCTAAAGCTTAATTTATAAGACAATAAACTGACAACAGCCAAATGTAACAAAATATCTTGTTTTCGTAACAACCTGACAAAGAGAAGCCACACTGTGGAGCAGAGGTTACCACTGTACCACCCCAAGACAGGGAAGGGAAGCTGGCTAAGGAGCGGACAATTGCATGTTCTGTTTCCTGCCATGCCAATATTGTGTGGAGTCACTGAGCAAGGCACTAAATCCCCAACAGCTCTGAGTACAGCTGCCTGCTGCTGAAACAAATCTCTTTTTTTTATATTTATCTTTATCAGTGATAAACAGCCTGCTTCCACAGATGTGTGGAACACAACAACAACAAAACAAAAACTATTGAGCAAATACATTGCCAGATGTCCGTTGTTGGACTTACGGTCGCCCAACCCTTGATGTGATTCATTTACTCCCACTTTCAAACAAAACTCTTCAGCAGTTCATGAAATATTTTGCTAACAGACAAAGCTGACTCCAAATAGGTAATGGCAACATCTAAAACAAAGATCTTGTGCAATCTGTAGGTGCTCAGATGATGTGTTGGAGATCAGTCTCAGCTACTGCCACACCAAGGTTTTCCTCTACGTATGTAAACTGACTAAGTTACAGCCAGTTTTCAGTTTTTACTGTCGGTGGGCTGTGCACCCATCTTGAATTGGGTTGACTGTAAAAGCTGATTAATTGTAGAGGTAAATCCAGTGATTACTTTCTGAAAGGTTTGTTTAAATTCATTCAATGGTTCATGAAATATTGTGCTAACAGACACAAAAACACACTTGTCTGTCTTTAATTTTGGTGATGGGCAGTAACACTCCTGCAGCTGAATGTGAACAGCTCTGTTCTACACTTTATACATCACGATGTCATCTTTTTGTCAGCTGGGATATCTACAACTGAAATCACCAACGAGCTTTAGAGATGAAAGTCGGTACTCTTCTTCAGACATGTTCTAGTTTTCAGTAAAATCAGCTTATTCCTGCTGAACACTGAGATCCCGTTTGATCCCATCCAGGCAGGTGTTCAAGGACGCTCAGGGCAGCCTGGACATGGACGGCAAGTTTTCTCCTCTGTATCGTCAGGACAGCAGTAGGATCTCCTCCGATGACCTCCTCAAGCTGCTGGCCGACATCAGGAAGTGAGTCATCGTGTCAGAGTCGACACGCAGTCACCGTTTCAGATGAGCAGTCAGTCGTTTAGAGGAAGTGTCACTAACTCACAGAGATCCTCCAACAGCTACATGAAACAGAACTTCTTTGTTCTTTTGGTTTTAAAACCCTCCTCTTCCCTTCTTTTCAGACCTGAGAAGAACAAACTTCAGATTGTGCCAGGACAGCTGAACGTGACCATTGAATGTGTCCCACCTGATTTATCAAGTACGTTTTCTCTCATCCTCCCTGCATGTCGGACACTAAAGGTTTTCAGAACGGAAAGTACAGAAATACATCGAGGAGGACCGGAGCAACTGACTGTGCTCTGACAAGACAAACAAGCAGTGCGCTGATGTCGCTGCAGGACTTGACCAGTGAATGTTTGTAGTTTTGGAGATGAGTGCCATTTTAGACTAGAACTAAACAGAGAATGAAGAAAACCTTAATGTTCTTGGTGCAAGATATTCAAGTGGCTAGGAGTTATACAGTGGAGAACTGGTGTTTTTTGTTTGCTTGTCGGAGGCAGCGCAGAGTTACTGATCAATGGTTGAGCCGGGAAGTGGGGGGAGGGGTCTGGGCCAACGATGACCTTGGCCACCATAGATTGACCTTCGACCACACCAACTATTTACGGAATCTATTACTTTTAAGCAGTAAAAGTATCTAGAAAGCAGTTTCCTCAGATGATGGGGTGGCCAGTTTACAGGTAGTGACCATTTTGGATTTTTACATGGCAGTGTTTCCCCTATCATTATACCATTATACAAGGAGGGCGCCACCTAACGAACTGCGCACCCCCCGGTTGAAAATCATCAGCACTAACGTAGTGCTGAGCTAGCGGCATGCAATACAGATGTGCTAGCTAAAAAGCTACAGAGGTAGTGCTCCGTCCCCCTCATGCTGAGCCATTTCCTTCAACCCCAACTGCAAACAGCACGCAAAACAGACGGGTCTCTGTCTCCACTCCACCCCCCGTCTCCCCCCGGTCGACAAAAATCACAGAAGAGATGAGTGCCCTGCCAAGGCAAGTCACCAAGGGGAAACGCTGCATGGCAATCCAATGTGTAATGGGGACTTTTTATGCTGACATACAGCTGCACACCACAATGGAAGCTGGTACCTCACTTATTTTTCAAGGTGTCGTGCTTACAACTCGGGTGGTAGGCAGATATTTCCACCTCGTAGAACTCAGTCTCATCTTGGTGTCACTCACCTCTGATGGTGTGTGGCAGTTTGGATGCCGAGTCTTATATTAGGTTAAAAAAGTGCTATAATTGTGCAGTAAGTGGCAGCTGAGGTCCACTTCTCTAACTCGACCTGCTCTGTCCTCTAGACACCGTGACATCGTCTTACGTCCCTGTCAGGCCCTTCGAGGACGGCTGTGAACGCGTGTCCATGGAAATCGAGGAGTTCCTGCCCGAGGAGGCTAAGTACAACCACCCGTTCACCACGTACAAGAACCAGCTCTACATCTACCCCTCCCAGCTCAAATACGACAACCAGAAGACCTTCACCAAGGTGTGTCTGACCAGCGGAGTGTGGTCTGCCTGCAGAGTCTGTCTCAGCGGGACACTCAGCATTTCTTTGGCTGTGTGTGTTAACTCATGTTTTCTTCACATCAGGCTCGAAACCTCGCCGTCTGCTTGCAGTTCAGAGATTCAGACGAAGAGGGAGCGGCTCCGCTGAAGGTGAGTTGTTTGCAGTGGTTGTTGCAGAAACATGCAGCTTCTTCAATGACAGCTCACATACAGGCTTGTGTAGGGCTTGGTATTGGTGCTGGTAAGACAGGATGGATGAAGACCTATGTGAGTGGGGGCCTCGTAGGTGGGCCTATTCCTTTCCCCAAAAACCCACTGAACTTTTTTCAAACCTTTGTGTTCCTAGGATGAAGGACACGAGGTCTGAAACCCTCAGTGTTCTGAGCTTCTCAGGATCCATGAAGGTTTCCCAATTATTAGCCCTGTCACGATAACAAATTTTGCTGGGCAATCAATTGTCTCAGAAAATATTGTGATAAATGATAATATTGTTTGAAATTTGACAATAATTAGTAATTATTATCAAATTTAAGAAGAAGTGTTGGTTAATTGTTTGTTGTACCTTTTTTACCACTGGATGACAGTATAAGACTGTTTGAACTGAAGGATGGATAGTGAGGGAGCGAGCAGCGTATCTCTTTAAGAAAAATGGGAGAGAGGCCCCTTGATGCGACATGGGCTGTCTCTCTTTTCTTTTGTTCCGGTTCTCAAAATGGCAGACGCTCGATGTGGTTTGAGCTCTTTAGCATAGCATTTTTCACACAAAGTTTTTAATAAAAAATATCAGTGAACAAGTTCTCAGCTTCTTTTTGTAGAGAAAAACAACTTTTTAGACGAAGGCAAGAGTTTCAACTGTGAATTTTGACAAGATGGAGTTTTTTTTCCCGAGGTCGGCCTGTTAGCTTAGCTTCTCATATTAGCTGCTTTTAATGATCCAAAAACATGATTTTGGATAGTTGAAACAGATTTTAAAGAGAAAAGACAAAGGGAGGGGTCAGTGAAGAGCACGGAGTTCAGCTTTTTATCATCCAGTGTCTTCATTAGAAAGAGAGAGACACAAAGAAATGATGAAGCCGATAAATGAAAATGAGGTGTATAATTTTCATTTATCATGCAATTAATTGATTTATTGTTTATCGTGACAGACCTACTAACAGTTCTTTCTCTTTGAGTGCTCAGAGCCAGGCAGTGGCCTCAGCGGTGCAGAGAGTTCTCTGTAGGCTCAGCAATCATCCTGGAGGGTGTCAACGCTGATTCAGTACGATTGCTCATTCTGTTTAGTTTTGCAGATTTTTTTTTTTTTTGCAGTCTAAATCATTTGGGTTTACTTTAACGACTTTGTGCTATTTTAGCCAACTGAAACATTCAGCTCATCTACTTTTAGCTTTTAGCTAGCATTTTGTTGCTTTAGGTATTTTCTGATCTTCTGGTACTTTGGGTTAGTTTTTGAGTACCTTTGGTTATTGTCTTGCTAGTTGAAAATTTTAGCTAGCTTTTAGTCGTTTGTTATGTTTAAGTTTTAGCTGTCATTTGCTACTTGTAGCTTTTACCCAACCTTTTGTTGCTTTTAGCAATTATTTTGCTACATTAGCTTTTAGCCAGTGTTTTGATTATTTTAGCTCTTAACAGCTCAGTTTCAGCTTCTTTAGTAAATTTCAACACATTATTTTTAATCAATAGTTTTTTCAGACTTTCTGGAAGTCTTTCAGAATGTTTCTTTGGACTTTGGCTCTTTTTAACCCTTTCATTCCAGTTCTGACAGATTCTTGTTCAGTGTCTGATTAACAATAAGGACAGTGGACCACATACCAGGTCTGGTTCTGTTCTGGGCTCAGGAACACTTCCACAGATCACTGTCTGTAAACAGTTCATCCACAGACACTGCTTAAAGCTCTATCAGGCAGAGAAGAAGAATGTGAACCATCCAGAACCTCTGCCATCTGTTCTGGACCAGAACCATTTCAAATGGACTGAGGTGAACTGGAGAACTGTTCTGTGGTCAGACTGGTCCAAATCTGAACTTCTTTTTGAAAACCACATCCTCCATACTGAAGAGGACAGAGACCATACTGCCTGTTGTCAGCACATTGCTCAAAAGCCTGCCTCTCTGATGGTATGGGGGTGCATTAATGCCTGACATGGGCAGTTTACACATCTGGAAAGGATCCATTAATACAAATATACAGATGAATGAACATCTGCTCCCATACAACAAAGCTCCAGGACTGTAGAACAGATAGAACCTCCATCAGAGCAGAATAGAACAACATTCTCCTCTAAACCTCCAACAGCTGATCTCCTCAGGTCCTGAACGTTTACAGACTGATGTTAGAAGAAGAGGAGATGCTTCACAGAGGAAACCTGGACCTTGGTCTTGTAATCCTGAGGTTGCAGGTTTGAGTCCAATTTACTTCAGATAGGGCATCCGTCATAACACTTGTGTGCAAGTACACTCGCACTAACAGCAACATCATCTACCGGTACATTTCATCGTGATTAACAACGGGAATTTAAGAATGGCAAATGATTGGACTGAGTTTTGACTTCTGCTTTCTTCAACAACTCACATGAAGGAGTCAGAGTTGAGGTTGTACACATCTGGTGGGATCAGGTTAGCTGCTGGTGTAGATCTCACTAAAGACTGAGGGACCTTAGAGGCTCAAGGAATGAAAAAAGCCGTGGCTGATGCTGCTGATTATGTGGAGTCAGACGGAGGAGCGAGTCGTCACGCGTGACATGGCTCACGTGTCAGACAGGAACAAAGCTCAAAGTGGCAAACGGGGCGCAGCAGCCAGCAGCTCGCCTCGCTCGAGATTTAATCAGAGGCGGTGGGAACTCCGGACTTTTCCGTTGGACACAAGATGTGATCCAGAGGAAGTTTACTGGAAGCTGGAAGGAGATGGAGACTTTTCAACGTTGAAAAAAGTCTACAAGCAAATCAGAGAGTAGTTGTTGGAACACCGTACTTGCCGCCGTTCACGTCCCATCAGTCCAAAAATGTCTAATAAAGTGGAAGAAAAACATAAATACATCGCTTCATCACAGAAGGCCCATCTATTATGCGTCACCACTGAAAACCCGGAAACGTGGGCCGGTGTTGTGCCATAAATTGATTGGCTGCCATATGGTGGCTGCGGGAGCGTGCACGGGGGGACTTTAACAAGATTTTAACAAGATTAACACTTAAAAACAATTATTTGTTTGCTCGAAATTATAGTAAAGTTGTGTCTCAGTTTAACCCTTTGAGGTTCACACCAAGAAAACATTAATCAAAAAAAGTTTTCTTTGCAATTTTTATTATTTTAGATCAACAATAACAAAGTTTTGACTTTTTTTTTCAAACAACTCAGTAGTTTTTAAAACACAGGCCTCTCCCAAACGGTTGAGATAACCCTTTATGGTAAAACTCGGAATTAAAAAAAAATTACCAAGATTGGTAAAACTGTTATACTTTTTTTTAACTTAGCCAACAAAGCAGACAACCAGGCACAAAAGTGTTGTAGTGCTATAGAACTAACTGCTACTGCAGTTTTGAGACATTTGAGTCCTTTTATTTCTGGTGATATGCAACAAAGCACTGCTGGTGGGCATTCAGGCACAGGAAAACCTTGCACTTCTCACACTTCCACCTTGACACTCCCTTGAAGAGCAGCATTGCAAGGAAATTTTCAATCTCCTCAGGCCTGCAGTTGATTGGATCCCCCAATTTCTGGGCAGAGTAAAGGTTGGTGTGGTGAGCATTGAGCAATATGTTGGATCATCTCATCAGTGAAGTGTCTTGAAATACTGCAAGGGTGTCTTCACAGCATCAGGACCTTCAAATACAGAATCAGGAACATTGAATTCATCAATGTCTTCATATTTCCAGATTCTGCGAGTGGCATTCTTTGGGTCTGGAGATGAAATTTGCTCAGGAGAGTCAACTGGTTCGGTTACTAAAATTTTTCTCAAAGTATTTTTTTTCTTTACGTCTCTTCTTATCAGAGTCAGAGTTTCTTTATTGTCATTCGCACCTCATGTGGTACATGTGGTGGAGCGAAATTATGTACACGGGGTCCCAGTTACATCCAACAATAAAATGTATAAGAAAAACAGTAATAAGATCTAAGATATGAACTAAGAAAAACATCAACTAAATATACACTAAGCACTCATAACATAAAACATTGAACATCAGCACAAACATGAACATGAGTCTGTGAGCAGATGAGCACGCATGAACACATCAACATTGAAACAGATCAGCAGCAACATGAAACAGATCAGCAGCAACATGAAACAGATCAGCAGCAACATGATGTGATTTTTCACAGTGATTATTCTAGTTAGAGATTCATGAGTCTAACAGCCTCAGGGTAGAAGCTGTTCCTCAGTCTAGTGGTTCTACACTTAATGCTCCTTAACCTCCTTCCTGAGGGGAGTGGGGCAAAAAGTGTGTGTGCTGGGTGAGTGAGGTCCTTCATGATGCAGGTGGCCCTCTTCCTGCATCTAGAGGTGTAGATGTCTGTGATGGTGGGGAGGCTGAGTCCAACAGATTTCTGTGCAGCCTTCACCACTCTCTGCAAAGCTTTTCTTTCTGCAGCTGTGCAGCCTCCATGCCACACATTGATGCTCGAGCACAGGATGCTCTCCACTGCACACCTGTAGAAGGAGGTGAGGACTGAGCTTCCCAGACCAGCTCGCCTCAGCCGTCTGAGGAAGTAGAGCCTCTGATGAGCTTTCTTGATCAGGCTAGTGGTGTTGAAGATGGGCTTGTAGATGGAGTCTCCTCCTCACTCATGGACTCAAAAGAAGTTTCATCTTCCTCTTGTGTAGGATGATAGTCAGGATCTCCTATTTAGTCATCATCATCGCTTAGATCAGCATCAGAATCTTCAGGTTGTTCTGGTATCAGAGCCTGAGATTTGTGTGTCCTTGCACCATAAAAGGTTTTGCTGTCCATCTAGTATTTGTTGATAAAACTGAAGAAGAACAATGTGAAAATTTAGGCATATGCATCAGTTAATGTCAGCATAAGTCAATAATTGATATATTAGTTTTGTGTCAGTGCCATTATTATGAATGGACAAATCAATCATTCGGTAACATGTGTTTTTAGAAAATTATTTGACATTCATAACATTTTTTTCACCAAAATATTACTATATAATGTTTAGTAAAACCTCTGACATTGTAGTATGTTGAAAAAAATATGCCTGCCTTTGAGATTTTTGGCAAAAAAATCCTCTCTTTGTTAACATTCTCATGCCATGCTAACTTCCTGTGAGGAAGGTTCTTGAACAGGCCAACGTTTTAATGACACAGTGCCATCTAGTGGATGTGTTTGGCATTACATTTGTTAACCAATTGGTAGAAAAGACTCAATAAGGTAGGTCAAGTTTAGTGCATGCCTCAGTTAGATACAAGGCCTCAAATGCTACTCTACCAATTGGTTGAATTCACTTTTCCTTAATAAATGCACTTTGATGGTCAAATCAGCTGCATTTCTCCTGGGCGGTGCGGCGAAATGCAGCTGATTTGACATTTGCTCCAGGAGTTCCAGAGTGAGATGATGGTGGCTTTGTATGGCAAACCAAGTGTCTCATTAATAGCCATTTTTACCTATTAATGAGACACTTGGCTTACCACATTTGTCGAGGGCCCCCAGTGGCTGAAAATGGTAGTGTTCAATATTTTCCATGTCAGAATGAATGAAATCATCAGATCTCAGCCAAAAATTGAGTTATAAATATGGAGAAAAACATAAATAAGTCACTTTGCTGTATAAGTCGCTGAGCATGCAATGTATGCAAAAAGTTGTGACTTATACAGCGGAAAATACATGTTTCTCAGCTACAACCACACCAAACTTTAGCTTATTACCTGTAAAGTTTACTGAAACATATCCATCTTTGTGTTTTTTGAGGTCATTTAGCTGCGGTGGCCATCTTGGGTTGGGTTTGCTCTAAATATCTAAACGATGGAGAGGTAGCTCAGTTCCTTAAAGTTTCATTAAAATCTGTCCAGTGGTTCAGGACATTTTTTGCTAACAATATAGTCAACAGTAAAGTTTTAGTCAAACATCTTGTGTAATCTTTCTCACTCTCAGCTACTACCACACCAAACTTTAGGTCAGTATCAGACACGGTGACAGAGGTACACTCATGTTTGTGTTCGCTAAGATCACTCAGTTGTGGCACCATCTTCAATAAGGTTCCCTAATTTAATCAGTTTTTGTCCGTTAAGTGATTATTTTCAACATTACCCTGCGGTTCACAACATATTTTGCTAACACACGCATACTCGAGCTAAAGCGTTAAAGCCCTCCTTGGGCCTTTGGTTGGCAGGGAGTTTGGTTTGATGTCTGTATCAGCTTGATCCGCTCGGTGCCGAGTCCTGCATGGGACGGTACAAGCTGCAACAGGACAGTGTGTGAGAGCGATAAGATCCTCCACCCCCATCCCTAGCCAGGTAATCAGGACTCCCATCAGGTCTCTGCTGCTCTCAGGGCCTTCTGATCTTCTGAAGCACAACAGACTGTTTCCCACATGCAGTCGTGCAGCAGCAGATCTTAGCTGTACGTTCCTCTTCTTCCTCCTCCACCTTGTTGGAATTTAGCCTCCTGCTGAGCCTCTCCCATCCTGTGGGTTCATCCGGTCCAGCACAGCTGTGGTTCTGATCCGCTCTCCAATCAGCCTCGATTTCGATCAGCTTGTTCCTCATGGTTTTGGCCAGCACAGCTTGTTACTGTTCATTAGAGACGACTGGGATCTTCAGCATCCTAATTATTTTATTAATCCGTCAGAGCAGCTCTGAATTCTTCTTTGGCCTGCTCATGAAAAACCTCCTGACCTGGATCGGTTTGATCCAGTTCAAGCACCCGGGAGTTCCCCACAGATCTGACTCTGAACAGGCTCCTGCTCTGTGAAACAAATTAGTTCAACTAAAACATCAAACATGTAGGTTTAAACTTGGATGGAAGATTTTAAATGTGTCTCTTTAAAGATGTGCATGGTCCATGTCCATGAAGCATCACCTCTCATTTTAACAGCAGCCTAAACCTCCAGGACCTGAGGAGACCACTTGTTGGAGGTCCTCCAGGACCTGAGGAGACCACTTGTTGGAGGTTTTGACAGGAATGTTATCCTGTTCTTGTCTCATGGAAGATTTTAGCTCTTTAACAGTCCTGAGGCTTTTTTGCTGGTTTTTTTTTTTTACCAGGATGGGAGCAGATATTGTTCTAAAATCCATTCACATACATTATTAAAGCCAATTCGTAAAAGTTGTCTAGTAGCTAAGAAGTAACATTTACTGTGTTCACAGCCTTTGTCCATCGGTGTATCCATCCATTCATCCATCCATCCATCCATGCATCTATCCATGCATCCATCCATCCATGTATACATCCATCCATGCATCTATCCATCCATGTATAAATCCATCCATGCATCTATCCATGCATCCATCCATGCATGCATCCATCCATCCATCCATCCATCCATCCATCCATTCATGCATCCATCCATCCATCCATCCATCCATCCA